AGTAATCCCTTACTTTACTCGCTACTTGAAAAAAGTAATCGGATTACGCGTTACTGCCCATCTCTGGTTGCAAGTGTGCAGGCCCAAAGTTTCCCAGCAGAATGTTGCATCGTATTAAAATGAATATTGTTATTTATGTCAGGTGTCAGTGTGTTTAATGTTGCCTGCCTGGTGTCATTTTATTAACGGGTAAGTTCTTTAGTGGTACTCAGACCTGTTTGCATTTATTATTTAAACCTGTCTATCCATTTCAGAGGGTACAGCTTCCCCAGACGTGCCAGACCTGCGGGGGCTACGCCTTCATCCCGTGCCCGATGTGCCATGGCAGCAAGATGTCTGTGTTTCGTAACTGCTTCACGGATTCCTTCAAAGCCCTCAAGTGTACTTCGTGCAATGAGAACGGCCTACAGCCGTGTGCGAGCTGCAGCCAGTGAGGGTGTTAAGTGCCTGAAATGACATCACTCCTTCTTTCCTTGGGACCCTACAAAGGGACTGTAATAATACAGCAGGACTCTTTCTCCAGGGCCATTGTTAGCAAAGAAGATTTGAATTTGTAATAAAATCTGTGAATTCATGGATTTCGGTTTTGCTCGTGTGTGTATGTTAAAGCATCATTTGAAGGTCACAAGTTCAGGTTTTTGCAAAATCCTCATTCAAAGATCTTTGTTCGAATCTCTGAAGGCAGTCAGACAGGTCCGCTGAGGAGTCATGAACTTGCTTCCTCTCTTGCAAGCCTAAGCTTGTTAGTTAATTAGTGAAGAGGCTCCTTCATTAACAATGCTCTCATTACATAATCCCATATCAGACAGAGTCCAGGATAACAGACACTCAGCACCAGGAGTGAAAGTCAAGCGCTCAGTTTGCAGCCAGCAGAAGGCAGCAAACTGGAACGTTGTTTACAGGCAAGACTGTTCAAACCTAACATTAAAAATTCATACACAGTACTGTGCAAATGCTTCAGGCACGTCAGATGTTTGTACTCATGGCAACATAAAGAATCACCTGAACAACTGAGAACATGGAGTTCTGTGGAAGATGCTCCAGCCATGAAGTCTGTGTTGACATTAAACACAGTTTACCTGTGTATACTTTGAAGTTACAGGTATGGAGTTTCTTACCAAGAACAATATATATATATTTTGGGTAATTGTCATACTGGCAAACAAAACGACGACTGAGACTCAGGTTTGTATCTTACAAAGTCGTGACACATCCTTCTTTCTTCATGATTCCTTCACCTTGATGAGATTCCTGGTTCCACATGCTATGCAGTGTCACCACAGCACACTATTCAATTCAATTCAATTTTATTTATATAGCGCCAAATCACAACAAATGTCGCCTCAAGGCGCTTCATAGATACAGAGAAAAACCCAACAATCATATGACCCCCTATGAGCAGCACTTTGGCGACAGTGGGAAGGAAAAACTCCCTTTTAACAGGAAGAAACCTCCGGCAGAACCAGGCTCAGGGAGGGGCGGGGCCATCTGCTGTGATTGGTTGGGGTGAGAGAAGGAAGACAGGATAAAGACATGCTGTGGAAGAGAGACAGAGATTAATAACAGATATGATTCAATACAGAGAGGTCTGTTAACACATAGTGAGTGAGAAAGGTGACTGGAAAGGAAAAACTCAATGCATCATGGGAATCCCCGGCAGCCTACGTCTATTGCAGCATAACTAAGGGAGGATTCAGGGTCACCTGGTCCAGCCCTAACTATATGCTTTAGCAAAAAGGAAAGTTTGAAGCCTAATCTTATCTATCACTGTTTCACTGTGAGGACAGTGTTCTTAGGGTTCTTTGGGTTCTACACCTCCCTTCTTTCTCCAAACATAGCAAGGCCAAAGTGCTCTTCTGATCACCTGACCAAAGGATGCGCTTCCAGTATGCATACCCTTTCTCTGGTCGTCCTTAGCACACTTCAGTCTGGCTTGACGACATCTCTTCTGCAGAAATGGAGTTTTCTTGGTCTGCCACCTCGCAGTCAACCCCTGTGCAGGATTCTAGCGAGTCTCTTCTTTGAGACAATTCCACTGGACTGAGTCACACACGAGCATGTTGGCAGCTGCGCTGGGGTCTTCAGACGCATCTCTCACTAGTTTTATTCCCAGAGTCTTTGAAGTCTTTCCTTTCCCACCTCTGCCAGGCTTCTTCTGTACTGTCTGCTTCTCTTTGAATTTCTTGATGATGATACTCACTCTAGTTCTTGGCACTGACCTGACTTGACCCTCAGTTTTAACATTACATTACACACAGTAGTTTGTGCTATGGCTCAATAAAAGGGTCAGTTTTTCAATAATATTGACCGTAGTCATTTTTGTATATTAAGAAATAATTCTGTTATTGTGTACAAATCAAAATAATTCCTGCTTCACTTCAACCTTATGTTAAACCACCTTTATTTTATCAGCTGCCCAAAAGATTGGAGCAGTTTGGATTTCTGTGTGGAGCCTTTACATATGCTGACCTCATTATTTAAAGCTCTGGCGATCCATCACAAACAATAGCTTATGTAGCAACAGGGTTTGTGCTTCTCATGTTTTTACTATTCTAGTCACAGAGCTAAGTAGATGATTAGTGGAAAAATCAATATCAATGTTTAAAAGGTTTCAGAGGGCACTTTTACAGCCCATCTGAAGGTGTTTCCGTATATTTACTGATGAAAAATAGCTGGAAATTTGAGATCTGTGATCTTTTTTGTGTTATATTCCATATTACATACATTAAAACAGAATTTTATGAGATAATCATTTTGCATCAGTTCAGTGTAGATGCCGATGTAGAACCAGTTCCAGGTGTTTCCTTTTACAAAAAGAGCACCCAGTGCCAAAAAGGCTTCCTTCCCATGATTGCTGGGTTAGAGACTGTTGAGGTCGGAGGCTGTGGGAGGGGCAAGAAATTATAGATAAGCTGGTTCTGGTTACCATAATTCTCTGCCCATGGTAACTACTGCAATTTTCCTCACATAATTTAAGGTTCTTAAATCTTTCAGAATATAAACTGGTTTTCAAAAGGCGCCACAGCAGAACTGGCTCCACACGGCACCGTC